TCCTTACAAAGTCTGTTAGTATAAATGCTAAGGAGCCTATCTTGTAGCAGCAAGCCAGTAGTACAAAAAGAGATGTAAAGTTCAGGTCTTAAATGAAGAGGATTTGCGAAAAGAAAAAAATCAAAATCCAAAACTGTCAGCTTTTTTGAACAATTTTGTAGACCTCAAGGTTTCATAATATGTAGTTTTTTGGATTTGCATACTGAAGCGCTAAATTTTTTGTTTTACAAAAACTGTCAACAGCAGACCTAATATTACGCTTATAGAAAGGAGCAAAGCTTTGGCGATTGCATTCCTCAGAAAAATATGGGCCAAATGACCAAAACGACGGCGCATGTCGAGGCGCTGATTCTCAGTTTAGGCAATTTCTAAGAAAATAGTAAAGTGTGCATGATGTAGACAATTGATATTACATACAGTAGCTCAATTTTCAGAAGAATGCCGCCATTCGCGCTTGAAAAATGGTCAGAAAAGTAAATGCAGTGGAATCCTGATTTCGGATGTGGCTGTGTGAAGCTCTGCAAATTCTTAACGAATGAGGCTAGAAGCTTGTTTCAACCACCATTGAGTGATCTAATGTCGTATTCGCGTTTCTATAATCTAAAGATTGTCTGCACCTATCAAGCAGTCTCGTAGTATAAACGCTGCTCATTTTCGAGTCACAGTGAATCGAGCAAGTTCCCACCAGTCACACTGCTACATTGGTGACACACAAGTGAGTGAACCTCTTCTTCCAAGCTTTCTCTTCCACCGTCTTCCACTTCCGAATGGATATGTGGAAGACAATGCTTGTCGGATAGAACATAGATTAAGATGACTGAAAAGGATGAATACCAACATTAATCGGCGATTAAAGAAGAGATGTTTATCAGCAGACGCGCCTTTGAACGCTGATTCCAAATCTGCTTTCCTTTATTGCGGAAGAAGTTTCTGAAAGAAGTTATGGGCGTTCAAATGTCCAAATTTGTCAAGGTTCAGGAGGTCTGAAATTGGCGAAAAACTGTACAAAAACACCGGAAAGTGGAAAATCATTTTTGTACCGAGTATATGGGTTGCAAGGAAGGAACAAAGCCGGTGGAAATCGCATAGGTGTTGTTTTAAAGCTTTTCGCCGATTTCAAGCCACTCAATGCTTGGCAAATTTGGACATTCAAACGGTCATAACTTCTTTCGGAAACTTACTCCGCAAAAAAGGAAAGCAGATTTGGGGTCAGCGTTCAAAGGCGCATCTAACAATATATTAGGTCGTTCCGAAAATAATGTCGCTTTATTCAAACGTACGCCACATCTCATGGAACAAAGATATGCGAAAGATTCTGGAAGCTTTTGATGCAGAATTACACGCTCTTTCTAATGGTTATACAACCACTACAGAAAATTTGATAATCTCTCGAAAAATTATCAAAATCTGCGACCCTGCTTTTTGAGAAAGCCAAGTTTCACAATTTTTCTAAATTTTTATAACAACTATCGGAAGGAGTCCAAGCAGTGGATGGATAGAGCAAACTCTACAGGAAGCAGCACAACTTTTTTCTACTTTCCAGAGCTCGTCATAATTTTTGTATAGATTTTTTGATGGAACCACCAAATATTAGCAGGCTTGCCTCAGACACAAATGCATCAAACACCAATAAATCTACGGAATTTGAAACTTACAAAGGTGGTTTATGGTTTGGCACTAATTTTACAAACCAAATGAGCATTCATCGCTTCAGATTAGCAACTTTCAAAAATTCCGGGTAGAGCCTGGGGCGCCTTGGAAAACCTGATTTATGGTGATTTTATCTCGGAAAACTTGATGAATCGGAAACAAAAAACAACCTAGAAAGAGGAGAAAAAGCTGCGTCGAATGACACCCGAGTTGCTTGCCGGTTATTGTTTTGTGAGGTTTGAGTTGACTATATATGGAATTTGATAGCATTGAAAAATTGATTCCAGAAACTCTAAGAAGCAAGCTAAGGAAAAGAAAACATTACTCTGTGTCCTAGAGACTTTGCTCTATCTATCTGTCACTTACAGTTCTTCGCAGAATAAGTACAAAAATTTAGAAAAATAGCAGAACTTAACCATGGCAAAAAACATGAGTCGAAGATCTTGGAAAATTTTCGGGAACTCATTGCATATTATGCAATCTAATTACAACCATTAGAAAGAGGATGAAATGCTGCATCGAATGCTGCCAAGAACTCTTAAAAATCTTGCTTCCATCAGTTGTAGCGTTCACTTGAAAAAAGCGACATTACTTTCGGAACGACCTAATACATCCCATCTTCAATTGCCAACTAATGTTGGTATCCTTCCCTTGTGAGTTTTTTAGGTCTCCGACGACATGTTGCCGAAACGTAAGGCAGATAAAGTACGTCATCATTAAAAAAACCTGTACGGCACAAGACAATCATTGTGTCTGTACAAAACCTCCTTCAGAAGTAACTTAATGGCATGAACTCCGACCGATTTAGACATCCTGAAAACTCTACACTTCAGGCCGCCTATATTTCTCTCCTTCTCATTCTGCACAGACAAGCCCAAACTCTTCTTCACTGTAATTCTTCTAGTAATTTTTGCCCATTAAAGGCACCGTCCACCCAAGGTGAGGGTTGATGAGATTTCGGTGCATACTAGTGTAGGCCCCCACACTAGGCAAACCCCCAAGTAGCGCCGCAAAATACTCCCTCCGAAGCGAGAAATCCGCTCCGGAAGGGACGTAACTGGAGGTGGTCACTCCTCCCACTTTGCAGGCGCGCTGATATATGCAGGGCGTCATTTGCAAACTAGTCACGGGCAATTGTGCAATCGATTAGGAGTATTAGGAAATGGAAAAGGATTCACTTGTCTGCAAAACATCAAATAATTTAGTAACACGTCAAGATCAACTACAGCAATAGCAAGTTAGCTGCGCAGAAATGCGTGACAGATTGCAATGATCCATTAGTCATGTAGTAACGACGGCAACGATCATTTTGACTACAAATAATTTTTGAATTTGATGTACATTGCAATGAAAAAAAACTCACGTTATCTTCGCATGTTCATCTTGTTTCATTGAGCACAAGCGTCACCTATAAAGAAAGATCATGTCTACATCGAGAAACAGCTATGCCGGATGCTGATGATAGCTATAATCGGAAAAACAACTTTGTCGTAAATTTGGTCACAATTGAATAAAAAACGAACGGTTAAGAATACTAATACACGGAATAACAATAAAAAAAACTCCGATTAGTCGCCTACGACGAAGCACTGTACTGCGCTGTGCGTGTAGTATCTCCAACGGTGCGCCTGCAAAGTGGGCGGAGTGACCACCTCCGGTTACGTCCCTTCCGGAGCGGATTTCTCGCTTCGGAGAGAGTATTTTGTGGCGCTACTTGGGGGTTTGCCTAGTGTGGGGGCCCACACTAGTATGCACCGAAATCTCATCAACCCTCAGTTTGGGTGGACGGTGCCTTTAAGGTCCAGTCTTCGACTATAGCAATCACAAAAGAGTCGGATGATAAGCTGCTGCGGTCAATTACAAATTCATAGCTTTATCTTCTTTCGCACATTGCTAGATATAGTGTAGCCTTGGCATGACCTCAGCACTGGCTGCATAGGCGGCCTCTTTTGATGATTGCAAAAATGAGAGACAACAATGACCAAAAGAATTGAGAACTTTTCATTGAAGTTGTTTCACATTGGATGTGCAAATCGACGTTGGAAGAACACGTTGACGTTGATGAAAAATTAGACTTCACAAAAATTTTAGGTTGTTTCATGATTAATGGAGGTTTTTTGAATTCATCTTTGAGGCGCCGTAATTCCTTTCCAAAATCATTTCAAGAGCGATAAGGACTGTTGCACAGAGCACCTCTTTTTTGAGAGAAACTGCAAAAAAAATCAAAAGCAATCACTTTTTCTGGTTGAAAAACGAAAAATGTCTTTCTAAGAATTTTTAAGTTTTCCGTCGCTGTAAAGCTAGTCCCGTTTTTCTATCACTCGATGTGCTATGTCTACTGAGTTCTGAGGGTCTCTGTTCTTGAAATTTTTGATTATTTATTTAATGAAAAAAGTCTTTCATGTACACATACGTGGCGTAACAGAGCACAGCGAAGAATTTTAACAATTGTTGGAATATTCGAATTTTGCTAAGGGAACACAATCTTGCGTCGAATACATATTCGAATGCTTACTGATATTGAACGAGAATTTGTAGTTACCCTATAATGTCCTTAAGATAGGGCCTTCTATCAGATAAGTCCGTCTCCAAATAAGTCCTTTTCTGACAATCTTCAGACTTTCCTGACAAGATTTAGGGTAGCTATGACGAAAAAAAAATTTATCTGTAGGGCGGACTTATCTGGGTCAAAAAAGCGGACTTATGTTTGAGATTTTAGGGTACTCAAAAGAGGGTAAGATTCTATGACATTCTAATATTACTGTTGAATCAATTAACTGATTTTATAACAACCTAGTTTTCTTATTTGATGCCTTGCTAACAACCCAAAAATTCATGTATAAAGCCCTTTCCAGTGGTATCGGCTAATCTTCAACTTCAGGAAAGTTGAAGGTATAACCGAAAGGCTCAAATTTATCAAAGCATCGTTTAGAACGTTTGTTTCAGTTCAAACACATGCGAAAAAAGGAATTGCCGAGAGTTTCCGGAATGTTAACAGTAAAAGTAGAGGCCATCCAATAAACTTCTTGCGAAAACCGTTTGCCTTTCTGTAGCTTTTGTGAAAACGATTTTCAACGTTGTAACTGTAGTCCGTTCTCTGCTTTTCACCTTTTGAGGCTAGTGACATTTGGCTTTATCTGCAACACAAATAGAATATGCAATAAGAGTTATATAGAATATGCAGAGCTCTACAATACTAAGAGAAGTATCGGTAATCTAATATAGTTCCAACCGCATTATCAAATGTACACTGAGGAACTTGCAAATGACACCTACATCAGTCACTGTTGCTCTAATCTAAACTACAGACAACACTGCAACCTAGGTCGATCAAGCAATGTAGGGATGGCTTATCCTTTTGATCCTTTTTTGCTTTTGGGGCCTACAAATTTCGCGCTACTGCTCATCTCGTAGGGATTAGCAGACTCAACAAATTGGTTTCGTTTCGGGCAAGGGCAGTAGCTTGCATCTCCTCCAGGTAGGCCTGGGGCCCCAGGCATACCGCTGATGCCCTCCATACCCTTCATGCCGGGGTTTCCAGGCATACCTGGTATTCCCATCTGACCGGGACGTCCTCTGATTCCTAAAATAGAGGACATTTACCTTTTGGTACGGTATGGATTGAAAACTTACCATCCATTCCTTTCATGCCCATAGCACCATAGCCACCTGGAGGTCCGGCTACACCTCGTTTGCCTGGCTTTCCTCGACCTCTGTAGCCAGTATCTCCATTTCTGCCATGCATACCCGGAAGACCAGGGGTACCTGGCGTACCCATGTCACCTCGGGGACCCGGTGCCCCAGTCATTCCATTCCTTCCTGAAGTAATAGGTAGTTGCAATTTATTTACAGGAGTAAATAATCACGAAATGGAGTTATACCAGAACCAACAAGTTTTTTTTATCAATAACTTACCTTTCATTCCAATGTATCCTCCAACTCCAGGCGTTCCAGGATGTCCCGCAGGTCCAGGTGGTCCATGAGGGCCTTCTGGACCCTGAGGACAAGGTATACAACCAACTGTAAACTGATTCCGAGCTGCAATCGCCATTCCATCAGATCCTCTCTTCCCGGGCACACCCGGTGACCCATCCTCTTAAACCAAAAGTTAATGCTGATACCGAGGAATCTTGATTAGCTCTTCACCTCCGCTTTGTCCAGGGCTACCAGGCGGGCCAGCTGGTCCAGCTGGGCAGTTAAATTTGGATGACTGGAGACGAGCTGAATTTGTTAGATTATCGCTTGACCAATTATAGAAATTACTTTTGTGCTTACCCATAGCGATGTGCGCCTTCCTCTTAGCCCTTGCGCTCGTATCCACCTCAACCACTATGTCTTTCCACACTTGCCCAGACAGAACCTGAAATTGACTCAGAAAGAATGATGAGACTAACTTGCATTAGTAAATCCTCAGAATCCTCAGAAAAATACGTTTCTCCGAGTTTCAAGACATTTTTTATCACATATCTCACGCAAACGTTGATATGGATTGAAAAGACTCGAACATCCCAACACTCTACCCCTTTCCCATAGTTTTCCTATCGTTGCCCTCTAAACCCAAATTTTTTAATGATTGTCTCCACTCAGTGAAGGATGAAGGGCTGTTAACATGATCAGGTCTTGATTGGAATTGTGAAAAAGCGCAGGAAATATTGGTGAAACAGAAATGCTATGACAGTGGTTGGCATAAATTTTATGCTTACCTTATATTCATCCGAACTTTTTAGTAGATCTTCTCGAAATTGTCCGATGTCGAGAATCAAGGAGATCACAGAAAATACTGCTCCAAAACATACACAACCGGCGCATGCTAGTGTAAGATAAAGAGCTGTAGTGGACATAAGTCTGGAAGTAAATAGTTCTAAAACTATCATGGGTATAAATTCCACATTAAGAACGATGTAGGAACAAAATGGTTATTATTTATCATGTCAACAAAATTATTGCAGCCTTAGCGACTTCATTGAATACTTTCATGATATAATGGTATATATGTTCGGTAGCTGATTATTTGTGAAATTTTGAGGCACTCTTAGAAGATGAACCTGAAATCTGCAAAAATAAGTCACTTTTCCCTCAGCTTGAATCTGCGGATATGGCAAGAAATATTTTCAAATTAGACACTAAAAAGCGCATAATCCTGTTGATACATGCATGATTTATGTGAAATTAGAAAAAAAATACATTTTCGGAGACTTTATACATATTTTAAGGACAATCAATAGTTGCATATGTAATGTTTCAAGAAAAAATTCTAAGTGTCAATGAGAAAAGAAACTTTATCGTGCGTTCTGAATCATAATGAATGACTTCCTTTCGCTCGAGATTGGAATCTTTAAATCCTTGCGCCGGGCTTTCGCGAACTTTCTATCTACATTAAGGTTCCTTAGAGGAAATCTGATGTCTTCCGCTCGATTGATCTGATTACGATTGCAAGGTTAATCAACCACAGAACATCTTACAAATAAGATTTCACTGTTTTGCATGGCCTTTTTACCTTAGCGAGCTTTGAATATGTAACGCTTATAGACTTATAAGCTTTAGCTTTCTCAATCGTAGAACTAAGTACTGACGCGCCAATCAATTTCGATTTTTTCACCGCGAGTAGCTCGAAACCGGGTTCTTTGTTTTCGTGGATTACGTGAACCTTCATGCTAGCGGTTTATCTCTTCTAATGAAACCTTGTCATAAGCAAAGATAATTTTGAGATCCTGGGTACGCATCACAGTTGTTCAATTCCTAAAAAATTTTACTCCAAAAATTGCACATTGCGCCAGAGAGTCTGCATTGATTTTGAATGTTGCTAATTGAATTTCGTGTAATTTGAAAAGTGATTTTGACCGATTGCAGATTTGCAGTCCGCGTATTTGGAAAGGTCATTGCGAAATGTGGCGTCGCCGCCATGTCTCCTTTTCTCGAACTTCGGGTTGCAAGAACGCAAAAATTTCCAAAAGCAACAAAAAAATTTTTTGAGGATGATCCAGGATTTCATCAGATTATCGTCTGAACTTCTGAGGTGTAAGTATATTCGAGCAAAGTATCTACAACAGACTTTTTTTATGTGTTGGCTAAACTGCGTCTGTGCAGAAATCGCTGAGCTGATAATTTTAAAATGGTTTGGTTGACATTTCATCCAAGCACAATCGATACGATAATTCATCTAAGAATAAAAAAGAGGTTTCGACGAATAACGTTATGAGCAAAGTGCTTTTCAAAAGGTACTTTCTGAACTAACCATAGATTCTATCAAAATATTCACTAAAAAAGGTAGAAAAAACCTACGACTTACAAGCATTGAAGCGCGCTAGTCAATCAAACTACAAATTTTCTAAAATCCGCACTCTCTATTTGAGCTATGAGGGCCTTACTGTCTGTAGAGCTTTCCAAGACTTGATCACAATTAAGTAAGAAAACGCTGTGGCGCTCAATCACGATGTTTGATTCAGAATTGAAAGTATGATGGGTTTGCTCTTGAATTCTTCCTAGAGCTCGATACAGATCGCTTATAAGCAAGCAGGATATGTTTTGGGACAAGAAGCAAAGAATATCGTTTTTGTGACCGTCGCTTCCTAAAAATTTGTTACTTCATTCGAAAAAATTTTAAAATTGATTGTTCTATTTCCGTTCATTCGATCAAAATTTTCGTTTGTTGTAACTATAGATAGTAGGGAAATGAAGATCAGAATTGAAAAACGATATCAAATAAAAATAGTCTTTTCATGCGCGAGCACAGTTTTTCCATCAAAAAAAGTTACTGGATAGGTCACAGCAGTGCAAAATTTCTGACGCCAAATCAGCCTCACCAAGATAAAACTTCCCATTATTCACATGAATTCAGTAAAGGTTTTCATGATCAAAAGGCAATTTTGATGATTGTGAGGAAGGTCAACGGCTTCGTGGAGTGTGGAAACAACAGAACATGGAATTATTCAGAAGTTCCAAAATTCTAAATTTGGTGTTTATATAAACTATGCCTGAGATACAGCCTGTTCTTCAGCCAAACTCTAGTACATCATATCGAAATTCAACTAGATTAATACGAAAAAAACAAACTTATAATAGAACAGAGAATTCTATGAACAGAAGGAATTTCATGTAAAGCAAGGAAAATTAAATTTTGTCATAGTTAGAAAGTCTTAAATAGTGGCTATGCAAAATAATCAGTAGACTAGAGAAAACGACAAGCCAATCTAAGCACATGATAGCCATTTGTGTTTTCGATCCGCTGAAAGCGATAACGGATACGACGCTAAGTGCGTCGTGAGTTGGTCTTTTTTATACGGAAACACTCACAGACTGACAGGATCCGATGCTAGAGTACTAGCCGAGAAGTCGCCGCTCTCGGATCAATCCCGGTTCGGTGATAATCTCTTAGCATTTCGATACACGAACCGCTTGCGCTTGTGGTTTACAATTTATGCTAACCATGAATGAAGCATTTGTGGTCAGTGATTTGGGAGTGTCCCAAGAGTATGCGTAAACTGAGTTGTTGTTAACCGTCTCATCTCAATTTTGAGGAAATTGGGGTAACATTAGAGCGAAATGTTACTGAAATAGAACTAGCACTTTGCCCACTTGAGCGATCGCCGGGGCGGCAAGGAAACACCCGCCCGAGAATAAAACATCCGAGCGAGTCCCGACCCTTACAAGACGCCCTGCAATTTAGTTTTCGCGAGCCCCGGCCCTTTAGGCCACGGCCTAATAGGAATACTCTGACGAGCCCCGAGCCTTGTTGGACGCCCCATTCTTACAAGCTGTAAGAGGAATCGTCACTTGCGTGATTAGGACTACTCTCAATATTTGCCGCTTGAGTTAGAACCAGGGTTGAGGTCAGGCGTGCCCGACCGGGGGTGTCGTACTGGAGGTAAAAGCAAGGGGCGAATCGTAATCAAGAAGCGAATTTGTTTAAAAAATTCACTAAATACTACGATCGAGTAAGATGAAGAAGAAAAGCGCTCAACCGTGAATCTCAGAACTCCATCATAGGAATGACTGTCGTGAACAACATGCTGATTAAATCGACTAACGAAGTCTCAGCCAAATTTCAATTTTTCATCTCCTTACACATACTGTAAGGTCACCAAAGAAGTTTTTCATGTAAGTTGGGCATGATTGCCGTAATCAGCATTGAATTACCTCATTGCCTATTACATTTTCTAGTGTTTCCCCACGTCTAAAATGCATGATTTTCAAACATGATTAGCGTTGGTCACAAAAGTGAAAAAAGTCAGCTTTTTTGTATTCATAAGGAAGTATTACTCTTTATCAGACTATGATAGAAAGTGCAATTCATGTTGTTTTGAATAATAGTTCAAGAAGTTCTGTCAGAATGTTAGTCACCGCGTTTTCTATCTCGGGTGCTTCAACTCCACCTATCACCACATAGCCAAAACAAGTGGAGGTAAGCTCAAACACCAATTGTAGAATCTCCAACCTTTACGCTAGCGAATCATATAGAACTACGGTGGAAAAGCCCTTTTGGTGATAAAGTTAATCGGGTCAAACCCTGGTCATAGGTACAGCGATTTCATCGTCGCGATTCCGTCGTCAGGGAATTTCATGTTCAGGGCGACGAAATCGAGACTATCAAATCGTTGGTGGCACGTTCTGGACATACCTACCATTTGATTCAACTGGCTTGGCATCGGCAAAGGCGGGGCTTCGTGACCTAATTAAGGCTAGGTAATGATCAGAGAGCACTTGCGCGAGAGAGACGCAGTTGCGTCGCGGGCGCGAGCGGCCTCAATTAGATCACAAAACCCCGCCCTAATGGTGCCAAGCCACTTGAATCAAATGTTACCTGTTTTGCGATAAGGTAAAGATAAACACCTCAGCACTTGTTCCACGTCTTCTTTTGTTATCCAAAAGCAGTATTCAGCGTGATTTTCTTACATTTGCTGATTTCTTTGTCTTTTTTTGAACACCGATACGTTCAACATCAAATTCATATGAGCATCGTTCGTTCAACTGTCTCTTACAATTAGATACAGTATGCGAAGGCGATTTTCTCAATTTATAGCCGGCTCATACGTTGCTAATTTTTTGCGATATTCAGATATTTAGATACTACGCATGCGATTTATTTACAAGTCTAAACATTTGAAGATATTCATTTTGACAGATGGCACGAATTAGAAGGGACGCGCATCATAATACGAAAAATGTGCAGTTTAAGACATCACTCAACATCTCCGCAAAAAAGTTGAAAGAGTAAAGAAGTTTTACAAAAAGTTTCAAGAAAGAAATGCAGTCCAGCGATCCAGCGATATCGCCCCGTCGCTGATTAGAAACTGGCGACGGGATATCGCAAGATTTCGGCCAAATCGCGGCGATATCGCTGGACATCGCTGGAATAGGTGTGACTTAAGAAAAGATTTCGGCCAAATTGCGGCGATATCGCTGGATATCGCTGGAATAGGTATGACTTAAGAAAAGACGGCCAGTGATCCTCCGCGCCGAACAGCTAGCACGACCAACATGCACAATTTGCCGGCGTACGTAGAGCGTATTGCAATTGTCCGATCGCACAAATGCATCGCGGTGATTTTTGTCGGTATGGCCAGGGCGCTTCAGGCGCAACCCCTCAGAAGGTCAGGCTGCCTAAGCTTTCGAGGGATTGCGTCTAACCCCCCTAACTTGCCTTCAAAGTCCAAAAATCGCTCCTTCCTGGTATGAGAATGGAGCACATACTTCTTGTTACAATGGAACTTTGGAGCCGGACGCTTTACCCCTAGAAAAATTATGGCCCTTTCAATAGGCCCGGCCAGATCAAAATCAGGCATCGAATTACGTGTGATAGTAACGTGCAGTCACAGAAAATCGCTCAGACAGTCAAAATATG